TATTTGGCCTTTTCGTTTCTTGCAGTGTGGCTTAGTCCATGGACAAGGGATCTACATGGACAAGATGCGAAAAGAGTGTTTTTTAACATAAGCATTATTAGTATTAACATGAATATTAATATTATTTTAATTATTCAATCAAATTAAAACTAAATTTTAACCAATAAAATATAACAAAATCTTATATAATTAAATTATAATATGAATTAACCAATAAAATAAGAACTAAATATTCATATTATAATAATATTTGGATGAATTTAGAAATGACTAATAAAATTTGCATAATATATTATAATGAGATGAGACAAAAAAACAAAAAAATCTTTGAAACAAAAGACTTAGACAAAACTTGATCAATAAAACTTTGGCATGTAATAAAGCTTTGAATGCCAGAATGCAACAATTGACTTGGCAACCACCTAGAAATTGAAAACTAGCCTTTTGATTAAGATGATTTTTTTGTAATATGTAAAAATAATTAGACTTTTTTAATTTCTGTAACTAAAACTGTCAATAAATAAGAAAAATAATAATAATGTTCACATCATTTTTTACACACTCTTTTTTCGTGTCAGTTAATCCTTTCAAGAATGTTCAAAGCATAAATGATAGCCCAATAACACTGCTCCTCGCCACTCACTGTACAGGATCTTTATTTTTGGATGATGAAATGCTCACTGTTCCATTTCGTCATTCTTCCTCCCAATCCCAGTGATTTTACTCTTTTTTGTCACCATTTTCTTTAGTGAACTGAGCGGGCATGGTGGAGACTATAATGCTGATTATGGTTGTCTTTGGGGGGTTGGGAGAATGGTGTATGTTGAAATTTAAGCAAAGTTGTGAACATTGGAAAAATTGCCGCTCGAAACTCAAGAATAGCGCCCAAAATGCTTGAAATTCGGGTTGTATTATCCTGGTGGTGGAATATTAATACATCAACACTGGCAGAACTCGCACACCAATGCACCGAATCTCAACATTTCACGCGATCTAAAACAACTATCGCGCTGTCGCCGTTTATAGACTTATACTTTGCTTTGTCAGACCAATCAGAATGTTGAAATCACGAGACTGCCGATAATTAAACTTTTGACCAATTAAAATCGAGGCTTGTGTGGCTGACAGTCACGAGACTGCCGATTTTTTTAGGCACCACTAACTTGCTACATACCGTCGGTACGAAAATATGAATAAAAACAAACGATACCGATAGTATAAAAAACCCTAACCATACCAAACTGCTCAGCACTTATATATAAGTTGAGCAGTATCGTGTGGTTCTTATTTTCCTATACTGAATAGCTAGCTACTTGACAAATATATTCGTGACGTGACGATGAGCAAAAAATGTATAAGGTAAGTAGAATATTTATTAAAAATGAGCGCGTTTAGAATTATTGACTAATTAATTATCTGACTTTTTATCAATACCCAATTCCTTTTCTTTTTCGATATTAGCTAATTCTTGAGCATGAAGAGCAACTTCTTCTGTTATCCTTATATTTATAAGATGTCAGTTTAATCATATATATATATTAATAAATAACACAATATATTGTACAATACATACTTCTTCGCCCGCGTGTTTTTGTTGTTATTCTTGATGAATTACCACGTTTTATTTTTGGTTTATTAGATAATTTGGCAATCTCGGCTAAAATGAGTAAATGAATATTTATAACAAAAGGGTGATCGAAAAATAGCGATATCGACATTATAATTATAGTACCTTCTTTAGCTCTTTCAATAGCAATCTGTCTTTCCCGTTCTTCTCGTTCACGTGTCTCCCTTTCACGTTCTTGTCGCTCTTTTTCTTCCTGCTCTGATTCTTCAATTATTCGACGTCTTTCCTTAAATAAAACAAGAAACACGAGAAAACCCCACGCATAAATTAATAATTTATAATATATCCACTCAAAAGAATCAAAATACCTAATATTTTACATTACCTCTATAATGCCTTCCCATAATGGATTAGCCAATAGTTGTTGTGTGTGAGTACTTTGAGATAAAATATTTATCCATAAATCCAATAATTTATCTGTCTGCTCGATTGTTTTTGTAAATTGCTAAATTAAGTGAAATATGTTAAAAAATAAAGCTCTTTTTTTAGAATATTTAAATTATCATTAAAAAACCTACTCGCAACTTATTCCTTGCCTCTTGCAAATTCTCATTTACTTTACCAAATGTTTTATTCATCTCCACCAAATCACTATATTCTTCGGTTAATGCTTTAATATAAGATTCGGGTTCTTGAGTGAGCAGCTCGTCCGGCAATACATTATCTAAACTTCCTATACTTTTCGCGGTCTCATTCGAAGCTATGTTTCCACCATTTAAAGATATGCTAGACATGCTGGTTTGATATAAAGAGAAAAAATCGCGAGGATTTTTTTTATAATAATTATCATTGTTATTTGCAAAAGATATTTGCTTCTTGTTATTATTGTCATTAATGCTACTTTCTGTCACCCATATTTCATCGTCTTCATTCAGAATTGAATTTTCAGGAATTTCTTGGTCCTCTAAAGACATTTGTAGTTCTTTTTACGATATAAATAAGATAAATAAGACAAAACCAAAGTAATTGTATATAACACGATAACGCGTAGAATTTTGAACACAAAATTGACGCGTGGCTTTTAAGAATTTTATTACTTACACGTGAAAATAAATGCTATGCCTATATCCTGGGTGATATTCGACGTCTTTCCTTACTACGTAATTTATATCAAAAGAATCTTTTTTTAGAAATACACTAAAACCATAAAAAAACTTATTTGTAGCTTCTTGCAAATTCTCAATTACTTTACTAAATGTTTTTATATCTCCACCAAATCATTATATTCCTTAAATATATAAAAGATTCGGGTTCTTGAGTGAGCAGTCCGTCCGGCGGTCTCATTCGAAGCTATAATTCTAAAGATATGCTAAACGTGCTGGTTACTTTCACATGATATGCAAAACTTTTGCCTATTGTGGGTTCGTTCATGTGTAATCTAACATCACAATCTTAACAGCTCAAAGTTTGACATTGTTATCCATAGAATTAGCTTCCGTTTGATAAACTTTTACAAACTCTTGTCATGTTTTCCGAATTTGCAAAAAGCACATTATCGCGGCGTGACGATTCTTCTACAAATTCAAATCCTTCGGTATTTTTTTCTGTGCCTTCGATTGCAATAGATGCTGATCTTCAAGAAGCCATACCTTTGCAAGAATCACGCGAGCTTAGTAGTATTGACTATCAAGACGATTATCAAGAAACAGAGCATACATTGGAAATTTCACCTGAACCTCCTTATAATACTCATGTAAGAATATTTGGTTTTTTACATTAAACTAGCATTTAGCATTAAAGAAATTTGTTGTAATTTCTGTCGAGCAGACTCCAGCCTCCATTTATCTAGATGAACAACCTCCTTTGAACAATAGAAGAAACTCTTTGTCTGAAGGATTGCTTTCATCCACTTCTGTAAGTCTTTATTGTGGCTTTTGCTTCGATTGATATGATTATATTGAGTAGTCTTTAAATCTATTTGCATTAGTTACCTCCTCCATTAGTCTCTACTTCAGGCCATTCAAGGCAAAATTATAAAGACCCTCATTTCGCAATTTTATTTTTGACTGGTATTTTCGTTATAATATTCAGTGGAATAATATTGCTTTTCAATGCTAAAGTAAGCATTTACGATTAATTAATGAGTTTGTTATTCTATTTCTTAAGTAAACTAATACTTTTAATTTCTAAATTTTTCATAGTCTCTATCTTTGAAAGATCATAGAAATGACGCACCATTTTTTTTTGTTATTTATACGAGCATGGGTAATAAATAATATACGGTTTCTAAAAATTTCATTTTAATAAAACATATTCTTGCAAGAGATTTAATTATAAAAGCATGCAAATTCATTTTCCATTATAGGTACTCTGATTTTCACGATAATTTTTTCAATAGTCATAAGTTCGATTTGGATTCTCTTCCAACGCTTGTTCGTTAGGGTAAAAATATATTTTTACTATTACTATTAATGTTTTTCTATAGACTAGGATTTCTTACCTAGTTAATTCTTATTTTTTGTTTCTCAGAGTTTTGTATGGGTGATTCTGAGTGCCGTTCCCATTATTACAGCATCTCTATTCATCTGGATTCTAATACATTGCTTTTCATGGAAATCTGAATATACTTATAATCTCCAACATAAAGGGTATGATAATTTATTATGTTGATAATTTGTGTTTTGAAAGAAGATATTTTTGACCGTATTATTACATTATTTATAGACTCCTGATTTTATCATCGATTCCACTGGTCATTTGCGTATATTATCTAAAACGAATATATTATAGAAGAAAACAAATAGAAAAAACAATTACTATCATCCAGGTTTGTAATAATAATAGATAATAATGTGATTTAATTAATTCTTTTTAATATAGTGAGAATTTATTACCTAAATGCAGTTGGCTTGCGATATTCTCAAAGATAACCCATACATGTTTGGAACTTCCCTATTAATCTTGGGGGCTTACATTACCTTTACGTTAATATGGCTGGTTTTTTTCAGTCGGCTAGTTTTAGTTGGACAGTTGACATTTGGTAGTTATCAACAAGCATTATCATCATTTTTTACTGAATGTATCTAACTGTTAAAATTTTAGGAATGGATTCTCGCACAATTTCGTTTATAATATTTTACATTTTTATGTACTTCTGGGCATCTGCGGTGTTTAGTAATATTCAAAGGTAAATTAGGGTTTTCTATTCTTCGAAAAATATCTAAAGTTGTAATATTTCATTCAAACTGTGAAATAATATTAGGGTAACTTTAGCTGGTGTTGTGTCAAATTGGTATTTTCACCGGTAAGCCAACATAATTTGTATGTATGTTCTATTAGCATTGTTAATATTAAATATTTTTCTATACTTACTTTTCTAATATTCTATTTATTATGAATTTAGGCATACCTCCGAACGTTTCAGTAGCAAAATGATCACCAAATTGGCGGCTATCAGAGCAACAACATCATCATTTGGAACAGTATGTCTTGGAGCTTTAATACTTTCGACAATACAAACAATAAAATATATTGTTTTTCAACTTAAGAAGGTAAACCATAAAAATCACTTGTATTTCTTGATGTTATTACTCTCGCCGCAATTTTAATTTGATAAGTATTGATTGATTTATAAGCGATCTGGAAGCCGTATTTTTTCCTGTATTGCATGCCTTCAATGCTTTGAAGTATTAATTGAAAACCTCAACAATTACGCGTTGATTTATGTTGGTATATCTGGTGCTAATTTTCGGTCATCTGCAGAGTTCACGACAAAACTACTTCGTAGAAACTTAATATCTGGCCTCATTACCGGTAGATAATCAACACGAAACTAATTTATTTTATCAGTAAATTTTTATTAATGTTTCTTTTATCTTATAGACCTTTATACAAAATTTATCTTATCAATTGGATCCTTGCTTATATCTTTAATATGTGGCTTCGCTACATTTGTATACGCTACTCATTCGCTTGAACCTCGATATGGATATATAGTTGGAATTATGGCCTCTTTAATACCATATTACATTTCACAATTTTACGCTTACATCATGATGAATACGTAAGTCTTTTCTGGGAAGGGGTTTTTTGAGTTTTCACGTTCTTATATAAAATCTTATTGATTTATATTGTAGGATTGACGCACTTTTCTTGTGTTATGCTCTTGATCTTGACAACAACACGAATCATTGTCATTTGGCTCATGCGACATTTTCTGAGCTTGAATAAATTGTATGATCTTTCTTATTAATATGTAATATATATCGTATCAGGAATTTTATGGTGTAAAAATTTATATTAGATATAAATGTAGTTTAAAGTTGCGTCAAATGTCTAAATACAAATGTCATTGAACTTCACTGGATATATTTCTTTGCAAATCTCCCAGAATTCAAAATATTAATTTATTTTGTTAACATTTTGTGTTACTTTATTGACATCAATTGTGTTCATCAATATGAATTACTTCTGGATTTGGATATTGAATTCTTTTAATAATAAATTCAGTATATTGTTATATATATTCTTTTTGTTTCCTGTACTTGGAATTCTCTAACAGAATTACTACAAAAGTAATAACGACCAGTTTTTTCTATTATATTTTATTCAATTATATAATAAAATTATTTTGATAGTGTTTTAAGTAGGATATTATATCTCTTAAATATCAGTTTTTTAATTTAAAAAAATCTAAAAATTGCAATAATTTGATAAATATTAAAATGAAATTATTATCAAAATGTTCATCTTATTGAGATAAATTTAATAAGCTCAAAATTATAAAAATAAAAACTCTAAGTATATAACAAATTTGACAAAATAATGACTTAGGAATAATAAAATTAAAGTATTAGATTGATTTTTACAATTCTTTGATTTGAATTTCATCAAACATTTATAAAATAAAATTGATTATTATTTTCAATATCTTTTTGAACAAATTTTGGATAAGAAGAACTTATAAAATAAGATATAATAGATTTGACAAGAAATCAATATTGATATTTATATTAATCTAATTCACTTTATTAAAAAATTCATAATATAATAAAAACATGAAGTGACTATACAAAATGATAAAATATATTAAATTCTATTTAATATATATATTTAAATAAAAAAAATTAGTATATTGTATTTGAGTTGTATTTAAAAAAATAATGCAATAATATTTATTAAATAAATATATAATTTGTAAAATAATTGATTTATAAATTCATATTTAATTTTTATTATTTAAAAATAATATTATTAATAAATAAAATTCATCAAAAAAAAAATATTTTTGAATTTGCATGAAATATTTTAATTCAATAAATTTTTTTTATTATATTATAATCAAATCTTTTTATAATTATCACTTTTAGAAAAGCAAAATTTGATAATTATAAAAATTTTTTTTACTATATTTATGTATATATAAATAAAAAAAATAAAATACAGTAAATATAAAAGTATGTTATATATGAAAATATTTAGAAATAGCTAATAATAATTATATTTATAGCAGATTTTAAATAAAAGAGATATAAATAATAATTAATAATAACAAATTAATGAGAATATTAGTATAAAATAAATATTGAATATATTTGAGTGAAAAATAAATAATACAAAAATAAAATATATATTATAAATTAAAGTTAAAAATATATTATTGTGCTGAATTTTGAGAGTGAAAAAAGTGTTTATTGAGCTTTTCTAGTATAATAACTAATTTATTAGTCAAAATAATAGAGTTTATATAATTAAGAATGTTAATTTTTTATTGTTGAAGTTGATAGCTAGTAAATAAGTGATAATGATATTGAGAGGAGAACAGCTAATAAAAACTAACTTGATGTGAATCATTTATTCTTTAATATAAGTAATTTTTTGAATATGTAATTGATTGATTGATTAGAATACTAATTTCTGAGCTAAATTATTTTTCTTTATTACAAGATCATATATAATGTATTTAATAGTGTTCCTATGAACTAAACCAAACTGAACTTTTGTCTGGATTTGAGTTCGGTTTGAAATTCGAATCAAACTCAAACTGAACTTTGGCTTGTGTTCAAGAAAGATTCGAAGTTCGAACTGAACTCGAACCAGACTTTTATTAGAGTTTGAGTATAGTTCGATGTTTGAACCGAATTCGAACTGGACTTTCATTTAAGTTCGAGTATGGTTCGATGTTTGAACTGAACTCGAACTGGACTTTCATTTGAGTTCAAATAAGATTTGATATTTGAATCAAACTTCATTCGAGTACAATGTTTGAATCAAACATGAACCAGAATCAGACTTTTAGGTGAGTTCATGAAAATTCACACCAAATCTTTGAATTAACTTATAATTTCTAAGTTCTATTAGCCTTTTTTAGCTGAATTCAAAATTAAGTTAGCTTTGCAATTTCTAGTAATTAATATATAGTTTAAAATTATTTATAATGTATCAAGCATAACATATCAAAATTATAATATTTTTATTTTTCAGAAGCATAAATTATTTAGAAAATATGAAAAAATATAACATAATATTTATTTTATTTATGGAATCATCTTCCAAATCGAAGTTGTACTATACCTCACAAATCAATATCTCCTTCTTTTTCATACCATTTATTCTTGCTATCATTCCACACATCTTCAGCTTCACTTTTTTTTCATCATCTTCATCTGTAATCTCACCCTTCTTACTTTCAACCACACTCTCCTTTTTATTGAACCCATCCTCCACTTTTGCTGTCTCATTCTTCACTTCTGCTGTCTCACCCTCCACTTCTGCTACCTCATCCTCCTCACCATCGATCACATTCTTTCCAATAGCTTCCTCACCCTCCTTATCTGCTGCCTCACTCTTCTCTTTATTAATAGTTTTCTTTTTTTGTTTTTCTGCTTTCAAAAAAGATGCAAGCACTTTGGATTGCTCTCTGAGCTGTTTTAAATAAATTTTCTTTTGCTTTTTCAATTCTTTATCTCTCTTTCACTTATCAGTTATTGTCACAGTTTTTGTTGCCAGATTCTGTGACCAGATAGCTTGGTAGCTAGACGAAGAAACAATAGTAGTTCCATGTTCGTCTCACTCAGGAAAGCACCACAAAGTGTTTGCATTCAATTCAATCAAAATATCATACTCTAAAAGAAAAAAATTTCCTCCTATAAATTCTTCTTCCATATATTCACCTTCTTCATTTTGAATTCCTCTTGCACACACATAGGTCCAGGTATATTTCAAAAAGTTTTTGTTTGTGTGAGCATGTTTTGAATAATTGAGAGCAGCATATGCTTCACACAGATCCAGTTGATAGGACAAATGTATTGCTGTTCCTCTATAAGGCATATTGAAATTAACTACTTCTTTTGCTCTATATTTGTCATCATCCAGTCTGGGCAGATCATGTTCTTCGAGCAGTTTAGCTACATCCTCTACTAGCTCTTTGAGAAATAAATGCATTACATAATTATATAACAAACTTACACTAATTACTATATGGACTTCTCTGTCTTTGAATTCTTGGATATTCAGCAAGATTTTTGCTACATTTCGAATATGTGTAAATACTCCACAATGTCAGATGCACAGATACCCTGCAGTCATCATGTTTCCTTGTTTTAGCTTTTCAACCTCTTCCCTTTTACTTTAGAGCATTCTTGGAATATTAAGAGAACTGACTTGAACATAAAGTCCAGAGTCTCCTTGCTGATGCGATTTCGATAAACTGCACATATGAGATGACCTGTATTTACATCACGCACTTCAGCCTCTTCATGTTTTTGAATCACATTAGGCAGCAGATCCTCAGCTCTGGCTTGCTCGATATCAGAAGTAAGAGCATTATTATTCTCATATATTCATAATTTTTTTTTAAAGCAGCATTTTTAAGGTAACCAGGAAGAGGGCTTAAAAGCTAAATAGGAATCTTTTTAGGCTTTAGAAATGCTTTTTTTGTGAGCAGATTTCTTCTGGCCTGTAGGCAAATAAATATTATTACCTGATATTTTAAAAAATTAAATCATTCTGCTATAGTTAAGATAAAAAAGAGCTAACTTACAAAATTTCTTTTCAAATATCTGAGTTTGACTTTAGAACTCGTTATTCTTTTATGCAAACTTTGGAAAGCTAGTGCTACTGCTGTAGGATTTTTTATTCTAGCTTTTGCTGACTGTGCTTTCAAAAAATTCATGAATTTCTTCCAAAGGATTTGCTGTATTATCAATTTTTTAAGTGTGTTAATGTATTAAATAATTAGAATATGAGAGACACTAAATACATTTTGGTCTTCATCATGAGGGGCTCCTGTTGCTGCCTCTAAGAGCTCATGAAAGGTCTCATGAGGCTCAGCGATAGTGACAGCAAAATCAGCTTCTTGCACTTCAGCCAGATAGGTTGCTAGCTTTTCAAATAAAGATTCTGTATGTACATAATATGTAAGAAGTTTAGCTTTCGAATAAAGACTCTGAATGAACACAATTTGTAAGAAGTTTTAGTTTTTGAATTATTTTTTTTAAATCTTTTGATAAATCCCTTCAGGAAATTTGAGCTACAAGCAGCTTTATGCTCAACTTTCCTAAAGGAATACCAATAGTGCTTTATATTTAGTGAGCTTTTATCTCTATACATGCAGCAGCTATCATTTATCGATGCAGTTTGTGTTTTTAGAAAGATTCAGAAGCTGCTTGCTGCACTTGTTTGGGATCATCTTTGGTCAGAGCAAAAGCAAAGTTTAACTGCTTCTGACTTCCCAGAAGGAATTCTGCAAGGCTCGCTTTAGCATGCACCCTCTCCTCTCTTACATATATAACTATTGATACAGCCTGCTTGTATATTCAGAAAGATTTAGATGCTGCTAGCTACACTTGTTTAAAGTCATCTTCGGTCAGAGCGAAAGCAAAATTAACTGCTTTTGACTTCCCAGAAGGGGTCCTGCAAGGCTCATTGTAGCAAACATTCTCTTCCCTCTTATATACATAACTATTGATACAGTTTGCTTGTGCATTCAGAAAGGTTTAGATACTGTTTGTTGCATTTGTTTGGAGTCATCTTCAGTCAGAGCTAAGGTTGCTTGCCGAAATCTCTTAGTGACTGTCTAAATTCTGTCAAAATTATAATAAACTATTAGTAAATAACCT